AGCATCAATTTTCCCCTGTTTTTTGTGCATTGTTCATATTTGTCAGCTTCATACTTATATTAATTTCTTTATTGTATATACACAGTCTGCTCTTTGAGTTGCTGGTGTTAACTGGTGCACAAGTTGGATCGGACTGGACTTCAGTGTTAAAGAAAAGGCAAGAGTTCAGGTAGGTTTTTGCTGGTGTTTAACTGATTCTTGATTAACATTTTTTGCGAAAAATTCAGAGGCCTTAGCTGTATTTTGCATTCTACTTTCTTCCAGGGATGCCTTTTCAGGATTTGATCCAGAATTTGTTTCCAAGTATAATGAAAAGAAGATAACTTCAACAAGTGCTGAATATGGTATAGAGCTTAGCCAAGTCCGAGGAGCTGTCGACAACTCTAACAGAATTTTAGAGGTAATCATACAATATGAGCTCTATAAAAGAATTTTAAACACTAATTAAACTTTTCAACTGTCTTTTCTATTTCAGCATCTTCATTCTTTTTCAATCCTTCCAAACATTATGATGCCCTAATGGAAAGTACAGATGGGAAACTCTTAAATTAATTAATGTGCTTGAAGCCAATCATGGATGTAGCTAACACCTCTTAAATAACATAACCACATGGGCCATATGGAATAAGTATTGCATGCCTATCCTGACAACCCCAAGAAAAAAAGATTAGTAACTTAAATAAATGTTTTAGGCTTAAAAAATAAAGTAGACTTCTCATATACTGTTACATTCCTGTGATTCTTAAATAAAATTTGGACATTTCTAGTCTTGCAAATTTTAAATGTGGGGATCAATTTCTTCAATATATTTCAGATAAAGAAGGCATTTGGGTCGTTCGACAAGTATCTGTGGGGATTTGTAAACAACAAGCCCATTGCAACACAATACAAGGCATGCAACAAAATCCCAGTGAAGACCTCAAAATCAGAAACCATAAGCAAAGACATGGTGAAAAGAGGCTTCCGCTACGTCGGCCCAACCGTTATACACTCCTTCATGCAGGCGGCCGGCCTTACCAACGACCACCTAACCACCTGCCCACGACATGTCAAATGCGAGGCATTGACAACTCAACCACCCCCAACTCAATAACTACCTAATCATCTCCAAGTTTGTTAAATGCTCTACTAAGCCATAGTTTTAAGTAGCAAAAAAGTTGTTAAGAAGCCTAGTTGATTGTCTAACAATATTTCCCCTTTTTTCTATTTGGGTGATGAATTTAGAGGTGTCAAGTGATATGATTTGGTGATTGTAAAGATATTGAGTTGGTTAATGTATAGACAGGTGGAAGAAGTGAAAGAATATTTAGAGGGGAAAGTAGAAAGGAATAAAAGGAAGGATGGTATAGATAGGGGGGGGGGGGGGGGGACAGGAAGCATGTGCAGGGTTGGCAGGGGAATGCCAATGGCATGTGTTTGGTGCATATATGCCTTAGGATTTAATTTTGTGACCAGTGACCAGCACCATCAACAAAAACTCAAGGGCCATTACTCCACCACTATTTACTTGCGTGCTTTTGAATAGAGGCTATCTTTCAAGGATAAGATCATCATCAACTTCAGTACAAAGGAGGAGCCTTTGTGTTCCCCTTTGTAGGGCCTTGATTTGGACAATATTTTCTTTGGTTTTCTACTTTTGTTGTTGCCCCATCGTACCATGTTTGCTGGAATCTAACATGACCTAGAGGCAAGCACAAAGTGCCTTGCAGTTGTATCATTACTTTAGTGTGGAATTTTGAGTG